GTCTTTGGGAAAATGGTTACCGTTATTATTTTTATTTTAGTAGCCTACGGGTTTCAGTGACCGCAGCCTCTAGCGGTGCGACACGGTTCGAAACACGGTGCCGTAGGCGGGGTTTCTCGGTAGATCCGGTCTGGATCTGGACCGATCTGGACTGTGTGGCCAGCGAAAATAATACTATGGCGAAGGCTTGGCGCTCACGCTGCTTGGTAACCAACAAACTGTCATAAAAAAAGATACAATTTAATTTAAAATTGTTTAAAAGCAATAATAAAAATATACAATAAAAGAGAGCCATAGACGTTAACGACTGTTTAAATGCCTACTGGCCGAACGTCACATTGCGGCATTAATATTTATGAGCGTATCCTTCAGTTTGACAGCGCCTTCCAATGAAGTGGTCCGGGTCAAGCTGCGTCATTAATATTCATGAGCCAAGCCTTCAGAATTAACAACAGCTTCCAATCGGATAGGCCGGCGGGACGAACGTCACGTTCGGTCGTTAATCTTGACAGCGCCTTCCAATGAAGTGGGCCGGGTCAAGCTGCGTCATTAATATTCATGAGCCAAGCCTTCAGGATTAACAACAGCTTCCAATCGGATAGGCCTGCGGGACGAACGTCACGTTCGGTCGTTAATATTCATAAGACAAGCTCTCGCTGTAGTAGGATCGACAAATTTGCTCCCGTTAACGGTCGATTCCGGTTCGCGTATTTTTACGTGGACTTCACGGCATTGCGTCACGTTGATGAATTTGAAGAGATGCTACCGAGAGGCGCATCCGTCCGCTTATGATAAACAAATCTGCGCCAGTCACTTAAATATGCGCAAGAATGACCGGTAACGGTTGGTTTAAAGACGCGGTATATTAAAGAAAACACCGAAGTGGATCACATCAGCGCGTGTGTGTGTGTGTGTGTGTATACACACGGTTATACTCAGGTGGGGCAAGCGTTATTCGCGTGGCGTCGGTGGTCGGTGATATAAACCCGGTTCGCGCGGCTCGGGATGATCGGTGAGGCTCATGCACGCTCTCATCCGTTCGATATCCGCACCATCCCGGGGTGTGACCGATAGATACGGCTCCGTCGCCGCTGAGCCCATGGCGGGTCCCGCATTCACGGGAGCGCACGGGACCTGGATCACATCCCGGTTACGGGAGGACGCGTCATCTTCTTCATCGTTATCATCGTCATCGTCCGCAGAGAAACCGCGCAAACGGAGAGCCTTTAACCTGGTCAAACTGCGGCAGCCCACCGCCCCCGGTAACAACAACACGCCGTTTGTGATCTCCGGTCATATCAAGCACATCTGCAGTAACTGCAGCCGCGGGAATGACATCCGGGACGGTGAGTGATAACGGGCCCGACCAGACCGGTGCTGGAGAATAAAGTAGTCATCTTTTTGTTCTTGTTTATTTTGGCCTATTTAATTTTTAAATAGGTAACACTATCACAGTGTACATGTTACTGCTTTAAAAAAACAAAAAAACAAAAAAACAAACAAACAAAAAATATATATATATAAAATTGTTTACTTTTAAAAATATAACATTAATATAAAATATAAATTACAAATATATATTTTTTTACTTGCAATATTTCCAATACTAGCAGGAAATTAATTAGCCATTCATGTGCTTTTATGTTTGTAATTAATATTTAGGTTTTTAATTTTATTTTCATTTATTGCACTAGTCTGTTAACAAGCTACTGAAGATACTGTAATGTTGCCTTGGTGTCATATTCACTGTAAAAAAAAAATATATAAAAAATGTTAAAGTAAATTCCTGTTAAATCACCTGACCATATACAGTAAAAAAATTATACTTTTACTGTAAAATACTGTGTGGGTTTTGGAAGTAAATAGTTATTATTTATGATATTCATTAAGGCAATGCATGTACTTTTACAATAAAATGATATGTTGAGTCATGAAAATATGAGTCAGATTAATTTACAATGAACAACAGGATGTGTTGCATCATATTAAATAAATATGAATTTTATATATAAAAACTATGCAAAATAAAAATTATACTGTAAATAATTTAACTAAGAAATACATTAAACAAGTTATATATAAATATATTCGATTTTTTATTTTAATTTATAATTAAATATTATTTATATACACAGTTTAATTATTAGTTAAGTACAAACAGTTTTTGTTTAATTTATGTTTATTGCAATATTTATTTGCTGTGATTTGTAGAATTTTTGCTCAGTAGTATTCTTGATTTCTTATGTTATTATATTGTGTCTTGAACCCTGTAATGTCAAGTGTGATCTAATTTGTGGATACGTTTTGGTAAATTCACATTTTATTGTTTGTTGTCTTATATTCATGCATTCTGCATCCCAGTTGTTCGTTTTACCCGATGTAAAAGTGAACGTTCAGCCTCCTTCGGCAGAAAAGCCCTTTTGGAAAAACAAGCTTCATTCTTTCCTTTACCTGCTGACCTGTTTTAATGCACCAGCCTATTTTTACACCGCGGCCGCTGACATTCGGGTGGCGAATGGATCCAGAAAGCTTTCCAGTTTTCCCAGAGGTTTCCAGTGATTTCAGAGCAGCTGTTGTGCGGTTTAGATCAGACAGATACAGTTACAGTCATTAAATTTAGCTTTTTTTTTAAAGATAAAGTTTTCTGGCATTCGCTTAACTAATGTATGTTTCTAAACACAATGTTGAATGACTGTGGGTTGATTTACAGGAATAGTTCACCCAAAAATTAACATTTGCTGAAATATACTCACCCTCAGAGCATCCAAGATGTAGATGAGTGTGTTTCTTCATCAGATTTGGAGAAATGTAGCATGCATTGCATCACTTGTTCACTGCAAGTGAATGGGTGCCGTCAGAATGAGCGTCTGATAAAAACATCACAAGTAATCCACAGCACTCCAGTCCATCAGTTAACATCTGGAGAAGACAAAAGCTGAAACAAATCCAGCATTAAGACGTTTTTAACTAAAATACGAGTCTATAATCCATAATAATAACGAAAAAGTGCATCTCCTGTTGTCTCTCACATCAAAATCCAGCCACATATGTGTATTAAGACGTTTTTAACTAAAATATGAGTCCATAATCCATAATAATGACGAAAAAGTCCATCTCCTGTTGTCTGTCACATCAAAATCCAGCTTGTTTAGAGCTGTTTAAACGCTGCTTGATCTGTGCAGATTTCTCTCCTGATTCACACCAGAACACTTTTTCACTGGAGGAAGCCTTATTATGGATTATAGACTCGTATTTTAGTTAAAAACGTCTTAATGCTGGATTTGTTTCAGCTTTTGTCTTCTCCAGATGTTAACTGATGGACATTTCTCCAAATCTGATGAAGAAACAAACTCATCTACAACTTTGATGCTCTGAGGGTGAGTATATTTCAGCAAATTTTGGGGTGAATTATTCCTTTAATTTTCTTGCTCTCATTTTCAAGTAAAAAAAAAAAAAAATCAATAAATGCAGAAATGCATTTGTGTCCGAAATGTAATTCCTGCTGACTCAGATACAGTACAGCACTTGGACTCACGTTTTTTCCACACTTAACAGTCAGTAAGGGACCGTATTAGTCACTGTGTGAAATGAATGGTGGATTATTAGAGCGCAGATGTGAGCAGAAAGCTCTGCTGATGTCAAATCAATGCTACATCCAAATCTGATGAAGAAACAAACTCATCTACATCTTGGATGCTCTGAGGGTGAGCATATTTCAGCAAATTTTGGGGTGAATTATTCCTTTAATTTTCTTGCTCTCATTTTCAAGTTAAAAAAATAAATAAATAAATAAATGCAGAAATGCATTTGTGTTCGAAATGTAATTCTTGCTGACTCAGATACAATGCAGCACTTGGACTCACAGGGAACGTTTTCCCCACACTTTACAGTCAGTAAGGGACCATATTAGTCACTGTGTGAAATGAATGGTGGATTATTAGAGCGCAGATGTGAGCAGAAAGCTCTGCTGATGTCAAATATATCTGAAGATTATTCTCCTGGGGTGAGAAGATGGGATTAGAAATTTACACTTTATACGTGTGACACTCGTATAACCCCCTCCTGAATTTCCTTAATCTTAGAGGATGAATGTTAATTGATGTCTTTGCCCAGTTTTAGTGAGTTACCAAATGGAAAAAGTAATAAAAAAGATCTGAACACTTGTAATCTGAGACAAAATGGAGAGAGAGATTCTGTTTTAGTTATTTCTCCTGAAGAATATTGAATTAGTTGCATTAGTTTTTCCAATCACTTGATCCTAAAGGTATTTGGTCTCCGCTCCGAGATTTATAATACTTAGTTTCTGCACTTTCAAAAGCATTTCAATTCTTTCGGCTCGTTTACTCAAGTTATTACCGTTCGGTTTTACCTTGACTGGAAATTTTTCAAAAGTTCAAATTTTCGGTCTGATTTACTAATTTGTTAAAGGAATAATGTTGTTTTGGCGAACGTTTGAGGTCTGTTTTCATGCAGAGAAAGTGGATGTTGAGTTTTACTCTCAAAAAGCACAATAAAAGACATCTGCTATTCCTTAACCCCATAAAGCTATATTCTAAGGCTTCTAAATGATCAGCATGATCAAATCTCCTGCATGTCTTCTGTCTCTGATTGATCGTTTAGAGTGTTTTCTCCAGTATCATTTCAATCTCATCTTATTACTGGAGATATAGAGCGACCACTGATATTTATAGCATTTTATGTCAGTATCTGCTGCACTGTTATAAAGATCTCACTGATTTACATTACAAGCATCAGACTTTCATCATATAAATATCAGCATCTGCACCAAATTGCATGTTTTTCTCAGTTTGAGCCTTTGAATAAAACTGAGCTGTTTTATCTTCGTATTCTCACTATCTCAGTCTATATGAGCCTGGATCAAAACATAAAACACATACGTAACTTTTTTGTTTTAAATGTCTAAAGGGTCAATAAACTCTTCCATTTCCACTTCCAACACTTCCATTGCAAACGTCCCGTGTGTGTTTTGGTGTGTTCAGCAGAGGGTGCCGAGCATCTGGCGGCGATGCGCTCTGATTCGCTGGTTCCCGGGACGCACACGCCACCGATCCGCAGACGCAGCAAACTGGCCAGTCTGGGACGACTCTTCAAACCCTGGAAATGGAGAAAGAAAAAGAGCGACAAGTTCAAGCAGACGTCTGCAGGTACGAGACACGCACACCAAACCACCCGCAGACGCACTGTTTTCTAGGGCTGGGTTTTGACACAAATTTCACGATTCGATTCTCATTCACAAGCTTGCGATTCGATTCGATTCAATATCGATTATTTTGGATATATATCAGGTACAGTACATGCCAAATTTTCTCAAGGAAAAAAAATCTCAACTAATGCTGTCAAATATACATGAGAGTCAGTTGGTACTACATTACTATAATACTGAATACTGCAATACAATGGACAGAATTTAAAATCCGAGACTTTGTTTCATATTAAAAGTACCAAAGCACAATGCTTATTGCGATTTATTGGATGGGAAGTAGCCTACCCTTCAATGTTCCGTCCATTAACTGAAAACAGGCTAGAATAATCAATTCTTGGGATTCATTCCGTAAAAATGAGAATCGATTAATATCGAGATATCGATATTTTTTACCCAGCCCTACTGTTTTCATTTATAAGCGTGTCGTTGATGATTGGCAGTGCTGGAGAGGAAGATGTCGACGCGTCAGAGCAGAGAAGAGCTCATCAAGAGAGGCGTGCTGAAGGAAGTGTACGAGAAAGGTAAGAAAAGAGATTCTGGACTTCATCCGTTCAAGCAGACAGGACCTGAATGTGCTTTATTGGAAACGTCTCGATCTGTGTGTCAGTAGAGGAGGTCAGCGTTGACGTGTGTGTGAGTGACCTGGACAGACAGACGAGAATCAGTCCAGTATCAGAGTCTGCAGACGCCAGTGTCACAGTGACAGGTGCGTTACTGTCCACATCTCAAATTCTACACAGTTGGGCTCGTATCGTCACCAAAAACAGCCATAGTCTCTAATGATGATTTTTCACCCTTTACAGAAGGCTAATTCTGTTACTGTACCTTTAAGACATTTCACACTGATAGGTGTAGATATGCAAATGAGGGCAGGTATATGTTAATAAGGTTCTGGTGGTGATGATTTCTGAACAAGTCGTTTTTGCTGTTCAGTTTCAGTAAATGTTCTAGATTAACTTTGTGAGTTATGAGAGTTGAAGTGTCTCACAGACAACAAACTCTTTTTTTATAAGTTTATTATAAAAATTAATTGATATAGTTTTTTATATTATTATTGTATATATTATTAATTATTTTATACATTAAAATATATGTGTGTGTGTGTATATATATATATATATATATATATACAGTGGGTACGGTATATATATTTTTTTTTTATACTACTGGTCAAAAATTTTTAATTTTTTTAATCGATACCGATATGTCTGTCGCAGATATATCGGTATCGGCGAATATGCCACCGATATGACATTTTTTTTACAGAACATAAAATGCAGATAAAATGCTTGTAAATGGTGTAATTACGTAGTTTGTCCAACAGAGCGCGCTCCATTGTTTGCTACTGGCGATCTGGATGAAATTCTTTAACGCTTAAGTGTATGGAATACCATTGAAACTTTGAACGGCCATATCTCCGTAATGGGCGCGGCGGATCTGCACCAAATTCGGGGGATCCCTTCAGGTCGAGGAACCCTCTCGAACGGCGAATCGAGTGTACGTCTCGAGGCCCCCTTTCGAAATGAGACCACCCCCGCGTCAATAGCCCCCGGGGGCCGGGAGTTACGGGCGGTTAAATTCGCAGCCGGGCGCCGACCGATCTGGCGATCCCGGGGGGCTACCGATGCAAGGAGGGTGGTGTGATGTGCCATGATTCCAGTTCTAAGGGAACGTACACGTTACATTCAAAGGACATTAAAGTGCGCGAGACGTGAATTTAAACAGTATTTATTTACAGAGGTATATTATGTCACACTTCACACTTCTCTAGAAAGTTTCGTCTGTGTGTGAAGACAGTAGTGCAAATCTGTGAATGAATATTCCGAAGTGAAATAAACTCCAACGGAATAAAGTTGATTGGAATTGAAATAAAGTTGAATAAAATTCAACTTTACTGTTCAGTGCACTGATGTCAGACTCATTTTGGATAATAAAGTTTATTGTTAAATTGTTAAATGCCCTGCCTCCATCACATATCTTTGTCACATCATTATAAGTGTTTGATCACCACATTTGAGTGAGTGTTTATGTATACAGTATATATTGATTATGTATATACTGTATTATATATATAGTACCAGTCACAAGTTTGGACACACCAATGGGAAAGTGTCCAAACTTGTGACTGGTACTGTACTATAATATACACAAAGAATATCGGCCGATAGATCGATATCGGCATTGTTTTACTCCCTAATATCGGTATCGTATCGGCCCCAAAAAACCCATATCGGTCGGGCTCTAAT